CTTGAAAATTTGTTTAGGAGCAATGTTTTATAAAGGGTTTAATTGGGTTCAGAAGGAAGGGGGGGGGAGTGCAGGTGGACAGGGTTCAGAAGGAATTCAAACCCTCATTAATTGGGTTTCCAATTTAAAAATTTAGGGCCAAAAAAAAATTAGCATTATAGAGGTACCATTTTTCAAACAGGGGGGTCTGAATAATTTTGGAAAATTTTAGCATTATAGAAGTCCCCTTTACTAATCGTGATCCAACATTATCTTCCAAGTCTGGGGCTTTCATTTGGCAATTGGGACCCATTTGTTAGGATTGCCAAGACAGAGATGGCACCGAGCTCAGATGCGGCGTCCACACAACCTTCCAATCCAAGGGTTCAGGTTGAAAATATCAGCTTGGTGGCCTTGTCAGGTTGCTTCGTAGCAATAGCACCACCGACCAATTAACAGGGACTTGGGGGGTCGCTCCAAGCACATGTCCTTTCAACAAATTGATTTTGGCCAAAAAGCTGCGCTAAAGTAACAACTATGCACAGTGCGACCAAGGTTTCACGGCTTTATCATATGCAGCTGAAATTCGCCACGTGGCAATGGTGCAGCTCTTGTTGAACGCCGGCGCTGACAAGGCGCAGGGATGGATGGAGCCGCAGGGAAGAGCGGTAGGGCGGGAATTGCCACCTGCTCTACTAAGGAAAGATCTGACCGAGAGGCAGACAGAATACCTCGGCAGGTTTGTAGTGGCGTGGCCGGAAGACGGCACTTGAAAAGCATAATCCCTTCCAATTTGAAAACATGATTCTCTAAATACAAAATAACTCTAAAATAGGTGTTCCCCAAAGATGGGAATCTGGGAAGAGCCTCAAAACCGAAAAGGGCAATGTTTTGTAAACCCTTACAACCTCGACTCAATCGTATCAAAATTGAAAAGGGCGCCGATGCCGTTTAACAAAGATTCTTCAATATTCTTTGCTTGTACTGTTTCCATCAGGCTAAGAATTTCGAAGATTGCAATAGCTATGCCATGCACTTTGGTGAGGCCTCGGTAGAAAGCACATTTCGCGTGGCTCCCTGCCATTGGGGACCGGAGCGCACGTGTGTAAATGCGGCGCGTGGCTGGTGAGCGGAACATGGCTGGTGAGCGGTACGAGTGGTTGTGATTCTACCCACATGGCCTTGGGGGCATTTTAGTGACAAGTGAAGGAGGCATGTTACGTTCAAAAGAATGAGAGCTGTAGTTCGTCAATTTTTGGCATGTCCGACATCATTTTTTCCGGCCAGTGTTTTGTAAACAGAACAGGGGACAACAGTAGCGTGCATTTTTGTGACATTCTTTGCACTGCACTGCTGCCATGAACCACAATCATCATATCTGAAAATGCACCAAAAGACAAAAACAAACCAATGGATGGTGGTGCAGCAGAAACTATTGGGCCAATAGTTTTGGATTTTGGGGCGCCATAGAGTTTTTGTTTGTTTTAGTAGATCTCTTCATCTCCTCTGCCTGGCTCACAGTCGTGTTTTCCTGCATAGCTTGCACTGCCAGTACCACGTCCTCGCCCAACAAAATGAATTGGCATGAGCAAAAAAATGTAAAATCCATGGATGTTTATGCAGCAAAGGCTATTGGGTCAATAGTTGGTGTTTTTCCTTTTTTGTACATCTCCTCATATTTTCTGCCTGGCTCACAGTCTTGTTTTTCCTGCATAGTTTTCTCTGCCACTCCCTTTGGGAAAGGTTTAAGTAGAAATTCACATAGATGGGTCTTGATTGAAAGCAAATTATAATCTCGACGTGTTTTTTATTGGCAAATTAACCGTACTGACGCTTTGTACACTATGGGTGCTGGGTACCCCTTTGAGAGCGGGTAGTAGCGGGGGGTCGAGTACCGAAAGCTTAAACTAAGCATATCTAGCCTTGTTTTGGTATATGTAAAGAATTCGGGTGCTTCGCTTTTAGTTTAGAATTTCATGTACTTAGAATTGTTTCAAATTGTTATTTACCCGTTTAACAAAATTACAATCTACCAGGATAAAAGTCAACTCACTGCATGTCCTTAAGGCTGCCGCCTCACTTACTGGAAACAATATGCAACGTAATGATCATTGATGTTGAGCAGATAAGCCCATATGTTGAAGTTCGATTTGAAAAGAAGTTTGCCATCGATGAACCAATTGATTCTAGAAAGAACTTCAATTGGACAACGGGTGCAAGGTTTGTTGTATTCTCGCCAGGGATTTGAATAAGATCAGTTAGAAGCATTAAATAAACAATTCAGTTGTTTGTAAGTACATATGTCACATCAATATCTGGGTCTAGTTCTCAATGACTTAAGGGTGTTTGCTCGGACAAGAAGTCCAATACAATCTAATGCATGCACTTTGTATTCAAAAGAATTCCAAAAAGAATTTATTTATGATATTTATGTGGAAACTACCATCAATATATTGGTTTGTGTAAAAAAAAGAACGATCGTAACAGGATTTGTTGCCAATCAATTGTTCAATGAACAAGTTTATTCTTTCATGTAAAAGAGTTGGAAAACAAGCATCAAGAAAAAGTACACAAGCACAGTCCCCAGCTCTCCAGATAAAGGTGTTCAAGATTGATTTTCCGAAGTAATTTGGGATGCAAAGTGTAAGAGCGCAGGCGTTGCATTCTCATGTATGTTTGCGTGGTGCGAAACAGGAGGTTGAGGGATCCACTCGGTCGATGTGAGGCTGGGCTTTGGTTGGTATAGCACCAACGCTATGAGTTGGATATGGCACTAAACCTGTCCAGATGGAAGCCATGAAAGTCCAGACAAGACATTTGACACTCTAATGGTCTCGGTGCACCTTTAGGATGTTTGTCGATGTTTGCCTTCTTTCATCATGTTGGTAGCCATCTAGCAGAGATTTGGTTGGATAGTTGTTTGATTTTTGACCACAAAGCTTGTAGCTAGCTTACTTCAGATTGCACAAGAACCAGCAGAACCCAAAAACAAAAAATGTATATATATATAATACAATATCAGTTTTAGGAATCCCCGAATGAGATGGTCAAACTTACACATCTCCAACCTCAATGCGGAGAGAAAGTGATCAACCTTGCAACAGGACTTACAAAGCCAAAGCGGTCACTGCGCTCAGATCAATTGAGAGACCGCGTTTGCGGAAGACTACAGTATCACAGTATCCTTTGAAGTTTTTCATGTTGCAGCTATAGAGATCTACGCTCAACAGCCGCAACTTGGCTGAGGTTGGACCGCTTTAATGCGGGCAGCTGGCGAAGGCCGCGTGGAAATGGTGCAGCTCTTGTTGGATGCCGGCGCCAACAAGGCGCAGGGATGGATGGAGCCAAGCCTCCAAAAGCAGCAAATATACTTGACAAGGGGAGGCACGAGAATCAGGGTTGGTTTTACAGTTCCAATTGTGTTATTTTTCTGAACAAGCGCAAACTATGCGTTTGAATGGAAACAACAGGTTTGTTGTCGCGAACCAAAACAGCATTTAGAGGCTTTAGGGATCCACTCAGTCGATGTGAGGCTGGGCTTTGGTTGGTATAGCACCAACGCTATGAGTTGGATATGGCACCAAACCTGTCCAGATGGAAGCCATGAAAGTCCAGACAAGACATTTGACACTCTAATGGTCTCCGTGCACCTTTAGGATGTTTGTCGATGTTTGCCTTCTTTCATCATGTTGGTAGCCATCTAGCAGAGATTTGGTTGGATAATTGTTTGATTTTTGACCACAAAGCTTGTAGCTAGCTTACTTCAGATTGCACAAGAACCAGCAGAACCCAAAAACAAAAAATGTATATATATAATATAATATCAGTTTTAGGAATCCCCGAATGAGATGGTCAAACTTACACATCTCCAACCTCAATGCGGAGAGAAAGTGATCACCCTTGCAACAGGACTTACAAAGCCAAAGCGGTCACTGCGCTCAGATCAATTGAGAGACCGCGTTTGCGGAAGACTACAGTATCACAGTATCCTTTGAAGTTTTTCATGTTGCAGCTATAGAGATCTACGCTCAACAGCCGCAACTTAGCCGAGGTTATACCGCTTTGCTGTGGGCAGCTGGCAATGGCCACGTGGAAATAGTGCAGCTCTTGTTGGATGCCGGCGCCGACAAGGCGCAGGGATGGATGGAGCCAAGCCTCCAAAAAGAGCGTGCGCATGGGACCAGTGTAGACACAATAGTCGGGGTTAGTTTTCAAGTTTCAAAAGTGTTTGAGATCTAAACCTGTCAGAAACGCGCAAATATGCACAAGCATTTTGCTTCGGAGAAGCGAAATGTTTGTTGGCGCGAAAAGACCAGCAATTCTAGGGGGCTACAAAGTCAGAAGCTTGGTGACCCGGGCATAGGTTGACATGGCATACAGACTTTGAGGTGAGAATGACGCCAAACCATTGACAATTGGCCACCAAAGTCCAGACGTAACTTTGACCGCTTTTATATGCCTTAGAGCGATATGTTTGCCGATGTTGGTGGTCAAACCTAAGCCTGGAGTTTGCCAAGTTTAAAATGACCATCTCCAACCTCGATGACGAGATAAAGTGACCAACCTCGCCACAGGACTTACAAACCAAGTTTGGTCAATGGGCTCAGATCAGTTGAGAGACAGTGTTTGCGAAAGATTTTCCTTTTCAATGTATTTTTTCCATGTTGCAGCTTTTGAGATCTACACTCAACAGCCGCAACTTAGTCGAGGTTGGACCCCTTTGCTGCGGGCAGCTGGGAACGGCGACGTGGAAGTGGCACGTCTCTTGTTGGACGCCGGCGCCAACAAGGCGCAGGGATGGATGGAGCCAAGCCTCCAAAAAGAGCGTGCGCATGGGACCAGTGTAGACACAAGGCTCGGAAACACGTGAGCAAGCGGTGCCTGTGCATTCGGAGAAGCGAAAGGTTTGTCGGCATGGATTCACTAGGTCAGAAGCTGCGTGACCTGGGCATGGGTTGACAAAACATAAGACTATGACATGAGGTGAGTATGGTGCCAAACCTTTCAAGGAGTCAGCCATGAAAGTCCAGGCGTAGTTTTGGCGCTTTAATTTGTCTTAGTGCGACATCATGTTGTTTGCCCATGGTATCATGCTGGTAGCATCTGGTAGCCAAGCAGTACTTTTGTTGGAAGGTTTGAGGTTGTATTTCTTTACAAAGTCCTGGAGCGGCTGTCCACCGCAAACCTGTAGAACCCAAACACAACACGTACAAAAGTATACATTACAAAAGTCGCAGAACCCGATTGAGAATGGCAATTTTAAGGCAGTCAGTCTATGTATAGAGGCCACACGGTGTAGAAAGAACATCACTAGCATGGAGGCCGGAAGGAAAATCACTAGCCCTGCCGCAGGAATTGCAAGAAGAAACTGGTCAGGGTGCTCACATCGATGTTGAGATCATGTCCACCGTTTTCCGTGATGCGTGAAGTACGTCACTCGTGGTCAAAGATGTTCCTTTCCATTTCCACTTTTTCTTCGTTGCAGCTATAGAGATCTACGCTCAACGGCCCCAACTTGGCCGAGGTTATACCGCTTTGATGGGGGCAGCTGACAATGGCCACGTGGAAATGGTGCAGCTCTTGTTGGACGCCGGCGCCAACAAGGCGCAGGGATGGATGGAGCCAAGCCAACAAAAAGCAGCAAATATACTTGACAAGGGGAGGCACGAGAATCAGGGTTGGTTTTACAGTTCCAATTGTGTTATTTTTCTGAACAAGCGCAAACTATGCGTTTGAATGGAAACAACAGGTTTGTTGTCGCGAACCAAAACAGCATTTAGAGGCTTTAGGGATCCACTCAGTCGATGTGAGGCTGGGCTTTGGTTGGTATAGCACCAACGCTATGAGTTGGATATGGCACCAAACCTGTCCAGATGGAAGCCATGAAAGTCCAGACAAGACATTTGACACTCTAATGGTCTCGGTGCACCTTTAGGATGATCGCCGGTGTTTGCCGTTTTTCATCATGTTGGTAGCCAGATTGAGTTCATTCTGCATCAAGCTGTGTTGTTGGATGGTTTGTGGCTGGTTTTGCAGCTGTATTTCCCAAAAGCACCTGCGAAGGGTTGTCAAAGAATGTGTCGTCGTCGTCGTCGTCGTCGTCGACGTCGTCCTCGTCGTCGTCCTCGTCGTCCTCGTCGTCCTCGTCCTCGTCCTCGTCATCATCATCATCATGATGATCATCATCATCATCACCAGCATCAGCATCTGCATCATCGTTGTCACCGATACAGGTCATCGATGCTTTGGATACAGATAGATACAGGTGTTTAGATACAGGTTTTGCTGGTCCGGCAACCCCCTGCAGAGATCGCGCGTGTCAGACGCGCAAATTTACAGTAATATATAGTAATATGCAAATCGTCTTGGTCCTGTCACGACCCTTTGCGGAGGTCGTGCGCGTCGGACGTGCAAAACTGTAGGAATATGCAGGGTGCCGTGCAGTTTTTGCCTGGTGAATCTGAACCCTTTGCAGAGATCGCGCAAAATGTGTAGCTGTGGTCGCACAGTTAAGTCGAAGTTGTCAAAGTGTATCACTTTCGAGAAGGTGGGAGTTGCCGAAGCGTGTCGAGAGTCAAGGTGGAAGTCATGCCCATCGAGTTGCCAAAGTGTGTCACTCATCGAAAATCAAAATGCAAGTTGCCAAACTGTCGTCACAAATCAAGGTGGAAGTTGCCCAAATGTGTGACGGTCGCGCGTGTCAAGTTGCCAAAATGTTTACTGTAACTGTCTTCCAAAAAGAATGTGGAAGTTTCGGATGTCTGCAACTGGCGTCGAAAACCAAGGTGGATGCTGGGGGAAATAGCTTCTGGAAGGTCTGGGGTCAGAGCTGACAATTTTCGCACTAGGCAGCAGCTTTTGTGAGCTCTGGGCTCAAAACTGGCACGAGAAGTAGCATGTAGAGGTCGGGCTCAGAAGTGGTATCCGGTGCGGGCACATTATATGTCGCGCACGAACCACAAAGGCTATAATATCTATAACTTGCACGAGCAACACAGGCTAATGTCGAAATGCCACACAAGGTGACGGATCTTCTAGACAATTTTTGTCGCGAAGCGATTTGCAAACTCAATCGCTAAATTGTTAAACAAATCACAGGCATTTTACAACATGCTTTGATTTCCAGAGAATAACGTGTTTTTGTATGTTTTACAAGTAATTAATGATGAAAGATCAACCACATAGCATGTTTAAAAAATATGTTAATTCTTCTAAGGGTCTTTAGACATATTTAGTTAATATTGTTGAGTACTATAAAGCTGTTGACAATTAGAAGTATTTCAACATTGTCTCATAAACAAGAAAGGTTTCGCTTAACAATATGCTAATACTATGTTCAATCTTTAAAAGTATTGGCAAGGCCCCGGCCCATATTGGGGGAAGGGAAACATGCATGCTTAACGCGGTGCGCGCTGGTGAGCAGGATGATTGGTGGTGTCAATGGGGCTTGCTATTTCCGTGATTGCGTCTGTTTGTGGCACACGGTGGGATGAAAATTCGGCCGTGAAGTTGCTGCGCTGCGCAGATGGCTGTAAAGTGTGTTGCGTTGGCCTGGCTCTGTGCAAGTGGGAGAAGGGAAACATGCGTGTGCACACGTGGCTCGCTAGTGAAGGGGATGATTGGGGGTGTCAACAGCGGTTGGTGTCATGCGATTGCATCTTTGTTTGTGGCACTCAGCGCGGCCTGCAGGTCGTAGTAGGAAGAAAGCTGCTTTATCTCGGGCAGAGTCGCTGTTCGCCATTGTGATCATCACGGTTTCTATCGCCATTTGCTACCTTGTTTGCATGTTTTGCTCCTAATGTGACGCTTTATATGGCGTCGATGTGGCTCCAGACATGATATGACCACTTACGCGCCACAATCTCCATAGTTTGGCAAATTGCGGATAACAAACGCACATGTGTCCAAATCAAAAAAGATCTTGCGTTACCCCGCGTGGTCTCCTACTAACTTCCGCCCCACCCCCACCGTCCGGTTTTTGACTACAAAGTCGTGGAGCTACGTGTGGCTAGCCTACTTATTGCTGTCCACGCAAACCTGTACAACCCAAGTACAACATGTACAAAAATCGCAGAAACTCCGATTGAGAAACGCAATTTTAGTCAAATTTACGCCTATAGGGACCACACAAATTGGGAAGAACATCGCCAACCTCACTGCCGGAAGGAAGTTCACCAAACTCGCCACAGGAAATGAAAGACACAATTGGCCAGGCGCTCGGATCACTGATGAGATCATGTCCAGTGACTTCTCGTGATGTGTGGAATGTCTCAGTTGTTGCCGAAGAAGTTTAGTGTCCATTTTTCTACGGTGCAGCTATAGAGATCTGTGCTAAGCGGCCCCAGCCCAAGCCGAGGTCTCACCGCTTTGCTGTGTGCAGCCGGCAATGGCCACGTGGCAGTGGCGCAGCTCTTGTTGGATGCCGGCGCCGACAAGGCGCAGGGATGGATGGAGCCAAGCCTCCAACGAGAGCGCGCACATGGCAGCAAGTAAACTGGACAAGTGCAGGTTTGGACGCAAGACGGAAATTATATATGCATTCTGTGCAAAATAAAACAGCGTGTAAAGGCTTTCGGGATCACCTAAGTCAGAAGCTATGTAACGTGACCGGTCCATAGGTTCACACCGCATATATAAGGACTATGCGTTGAGTAAGGCGCCAAACCTTGGAAGATTGAAGGCGTGCATCATTCGCTCTAAGGTCTTAGCACAACGTTGGGATGTTTGACGTTTGCCTTCTTTCATCATGTTGCTATCTATCCAGTTGGGGTCCTTCCTGCACGAAGCAGTGCTTTTTGTTGGATAGTTTGCGGTTGTATATATATTTACCACACTGTGCTGGCACTGCTTGTAGCTAGCTAGCTGCTTATTTTAGGCTGTCCACGCAAACCTGTACATAAGTCGCAGAAGCTCGACTGACAGTCCACACCAGAGTTTAGAAAGAACATCACCAGCCTGATGCCGCAAAAAAAAGTCACCAACCTCGCGACAGGATTGCCAAGACAAGAATGGCCTGGTGCTCAGATCACCACTGAGATCATGTCCAGCGTTTCTCCGTGGTCGGTGAAGTGTTTCAGTTGTTGCGGAAGATGTTCCTCTCCAGTTCTGTTTCACCAAACTGTTTATTGTTGGGGTTTTCTCTCAAGAGAAAGAGCTGTCCACGATACCCCTTTTTCACCACCCTGTGGGCCCTGTCGTCCTCTCTTGACCTCGCCTTGTCATGTCCGGGCCTTGTCGAGGCCTGTCAGGTCTGCATGTCTGAAATTGCTTACACGCAGGAATACAAGTATAGAATAGTATAGAAGTGTCCACCAGATTTTTGTCCATTCACAGAACTGCGAAAGAATCTCGCTGAAACTGTTTGGGGACCTGCGCACCTCACACGCCGGCCGGGTCCGAGGTGTGACCAGTTTGATGTGGGCAGCCTCTGGTGGCCGCGTGGAAGCAGCGCGGCTCTTGTTGGACGCCGGTGCCGAGAAGGCACAGGGAATGATGGGAGCCAGGGCTTCAGAAAGGAGCCAGGAAACTGGACAAGTGTAGGCGCAAGACGTCGAGTTCATTTTGCAGTTCCCAACTGTTTGCGATCCAAATGATTCCAAATGTATAAGAGCTGAAACAAGAAGTGCAGAATATGCATTCGGATGAATGTTCGTTTCAGCGAAAGGAAACTCGATTTATAGGTTGACACTCAGTCAGAAGCTGTGTGACGGGCATAGGTTGACATAGCACAAGACTATGTGTCGAGTAAGGCGCCTGAACTTGAAGACTGGCGCCATAAAACTCCAACTGTACCATGTGAGGCTGCAATGTTCTACTGCAACAAGAGGATGTTTGGTGATGTTCGCCTCTTTTCATCATGTTGGAAGCGAGCTGGAGCTCATTCAGCACCTAGCTGTTACTTGTTGACAGAAAACATTTGCCATCTAACAGGGTACCACAATGTCACCAGGTACTGTACTGTATCAAGGTTTGTGGTGTTTGTGTGAGCTATGAAACAGCAGCCTGCCAGCAAACCTCCCAGCCCAACACAGCAAGCTTCACTGTCCACCTCTTTTCATCCTTGACGCCGATCAAGTCCTATGTTCCTACAGATCCCCTCATCGGCAAACAAGGGCCGCAAAAATATTTTAGGTAACAGCAAGAACGGTTGGAAGAAGAGAGTCGGACAAGGGAACTCAGGGCGCGGAACTGTGGAAGCAGGGGCTGGAGAATCAGCCATTTCTTCATTTTCCTCCATCACCTCTCCCTCTCTGGCTCATCACCCTCAGTGTCACCGCCCTCCTCGGTCTTCACATCGTCCTTCTCATTGGTCTTCACCTGCTTGCCATTCTTTGCCTTCTCCGCACTCGCCAACTGGTCCTCACAATCGCTCCAAGCTATGAACATGTCCATGAGTCAGTGAGCAAGCGTGTTTGCTATTATGGCTGCTTGATTTGCCAACAGAACTATAGTTTATAAACTTGAAAGATCCAATCAATGATTGGTCCCAATTCTTTTGTCCAGCTCTGACGAAGAAGCTCTGCCCGAAGAATCTCCTTGTACGACAAAGCTCTCTTTCTATTCAACAACCCTGCTCTCGTGGTGTCTAGAGTTGGTTTCAAGCCAAGGTGCGCACGTGCGCTTGTCAGTCAGACATTGTCATTGCTTCAAGCTGTTCCAAGCCCCAAGTCCACCTGTTGGAAATCTAAAGTAATGTGGTTTTTGGAGGTTTCACCTAACTTGGGAGTTTAAGTGTTCATCCTTGCTGTAAAGTCTTTGGTGGGCTGGCGCAGCATCTAGGATATGAAGTCGTAGGTTGTTCGTGGTGGCCGGCGTAATACTCAGGCGCAGGGCATCGGAGTGCAGATGTTTTAAATTATCGTCGCCCGCTTCTTGTTGCTGCAAAAAAGTTTTAAGTTGCCAAGTTCCCACAAAATAATATGTCATTCTTGCATAGTGTAATACATTGTACCCGTCCTCTTTCTTCAGGCTTTCCTCTGTAAACAGGTGCTGGTAGACGATGGAAGCGCAGTCGTTGTGATGTTTTCTAGGTTTGAGGAAACTTGTAATTAATTTGTGTCGGTCAACACTTGCAAGTTGAAATAGAACTGTGCATGGAAAGAGACCGTTTGTGTGCACTTTGGAAAACAGTTTACGGCACCAGGTGTCGTTGTTGCCTCAAAACCCTGTACCCCGGGTAGCTGGCAAGCGGTTACATACTTGGTTCTTTGGCTTTTTTGACCCAAGGTTGCTTGAGCGCCAGAAAACAGAATATACGGAAAGATTCCCGGCGTGAGAAGCACGATTCTGAAGTCAATCCGGCAAGAGTCTAGAGAATCGACAGTTTAGAAAGTCACCAACCTCGCCCCAGGATTTAAAAGACAGCGGTGGCCCGGTGCTTAATATCCAGTGTTTTCCGCTTTTTGTGAAACGCGCAACTTGTTGCGAAAGATTTTGGTTTCAATTTGTGTTTTTCCATGTTGCACCTTCAGAGCTTTGCACGCAACGGCTGCAGCCCGGCCAAGGTGGGACCGCTTTAACGGCGGCAGCCATGAATGGCCACGTGGAAGTGGCTCTTCTCTTGTTGGACGCCGGCGCAGACCAGGCACAGGGATGGAGCCCGGCCTCCAAAACAGGTAGGGAAGCTGGACAAGTCTAGGCACAAGGCTCGCAGTTGAGTTCTATAATGTTTGGGGTCCAAACCTTAAAAATTAATCGAGCAAGCGCAAGCTTTGCCTTCGGATGGAATCGAAAGAATCTTCAAAGCCCCAAGCCGTGTGACCGGTGCATAGGTTGACGTACCCTGAAGGCTGTGAGTTGAGAAGGGTCCCAAAACTTTGAAGATATTAGCCATGGAAGTCGAGGCGCAATTTTAACTTGTGACGTGTCTTAATGCAATGTCACGATGTTTGCCTTCTGTCATCATGGGGCTAGCCAGTTGCAGTTCATCCTGCATCAGGCAGTACTTTTGTTGGTTAGTTTGTGGTTTGATTTGACCCCAAACAGTGTGGTCACACTGGGAGGTCTTACGGTGAAGGTTATAAGGAGGTTTTGACCGAGGTGCTCAAAGGCGTCAGTGACTAATTCACTGCTATTTATGGCGCGTTCATGCCTCAAGCACATTTTGAGTGCGCACCCTCCACAAAACTTTCTGACTGTCACGGGTGCTTGCCTCCACTGTGCTCTCGTTGTGGTCCCGTGCGTGTTTTTGGACTTGGTGGTCACTGTTCGTGGCAGGCGCAGGAGAGCAATTTTACGTCTATGTTTCGGACATGGTGGTGGTCTTTGGCGCGCTGTAATTAAGTAGGCAAAAGCATGGAATCATGAACTTGGGACATGTGGTTTGTTTTGAGAAACTGGGGGGAGCGGGAAGTGTCGAGCATTCGAGCAAAAGCTGTGGCCTGACATCTTGATGTTGTGTTTGGAAGTGCTTTTTCTGCGAAACATAGTATGTGAATCTTGATGCGAATCTCATGGTGGGCGCAGCGCTTCCTGAACCTTGAAGCGCAGATTTTTACTACTACCACTACCCTTATTGCCACCACAGCCACTATCACCACCAAGACGAGGACGACGACGACTACTGCTACTACGACTACCACTAATTGCTACAAATACTACTACCGCTACCACTACTGCTACTACTACTACCACTACGACTACTACGACTACGACTACGACTACTACTTCCACTACCACTACCACCACCACCATCACCACCACTACCACTACTACTACCACGACGACGACGACTCCGACGACGACGGCGACGACGACGACGATGACGACTACTACTATACTTCTACTAACTTCTACTACTACCACCACTACCGCAACCACTACCACCACCACCACGACCGCCACCAC